GTCAAGCGCACGAAGCAATCGTGTCCCCTGCCACACCGCACTAAAGAATGTGATTTAAATTCACGAACACAGACACTTGATGAATCACATGCAATGCCCTGCTGTTTGATAGTCGCTCCGGAGACGCCCTCCCTTCAGGGTCCAGTTGATGTTTATCGTGGTACGTTTTTTTATTTAAAGATTCAACTATCGAACAAAAGCATTTGCGAGTGACGTGTACAAGTGCACAGGTAAGTAACGGCATCTAGCACGTGGAAATCTCTTCCCTTAGAGTTGCCATGACGAGCCTGGAAAATGCTTTCAAGGAGTGGCCAGTTTGGCGTTGCCTGGTGTGGCTAGTTTGGAGTTGGAAGAGACATTGGCAACGTTGGTGGAGGTCATGTTGAGAGTGATGTGTGACTGGCGGATTTCAAGGTCAGAACCTAGCAGGGGTGCTTTAGCAGTGTGTCAAGATGTTGAAACTTGCGACCACACGTGCCAAGTTGAGCTTCTAAACCCTAGAATTACCAGTATTTGGAGTAGCTAATTTTGGTTTTTTTAAGAAAATGCCGTGCTTGGGCTATGTAACCATCAAACGCGTCTAAATTGCACAGAAATGACTCTGCGTATTTCTCGGTGCGGTGACAAGTGCGTTACCCCATTGAAGTCCAAATGAGTAAACTTAAAATGCAACAGATACAGATAAAATTGTTTGGATCAGCTAAATTTCGTGTTCGTTCACGTGAGAGAGGAGACATTATTTTTGGGATAGTCATCTCATTTGTGAGCTGGCCTATGTCTCTCTAAACTGATCGATCACCCCCGAAGAATTAGCCTGGGTGTGTGTGCTCGTGGGTGGGTGCGTTTGTGCAAGTCTCGGCATGTACTTTTGTGACCAACGAGGTCACTTTCGCTGACCCAACAACGTGCTGACACAAGAGCCGTCTCAACCCCGCACACGTTTGATCGTGCAGAGCACGAACCTATTCACTTGACCACCGTTTGTACTGTCGTGTTCTTTTAAATCGGTCTTATGTTAAATAAAGGTGGCCTTGTTAACAGATGAAGGAACTTTTAAAGATTGTGGTTGGCTTCTTTGGGGGACATGCAACTTATAGCTGGGGAATCCAAATCAGAGGGGAAGATGGTTAAAAGTAGTACAGGGCTGACACCATTAACTCAATAGTGAAAAATGAGCAGAAATTGTAGCAAATCGTTTCACTGCAATTGAGGCTCTAATGGGTAAGGTCTTTCTATGTGTGTTTCAAAGTTCGGGTCCAAAACAGAAAAAAACGCACGTCAGTAGCCAGTCATATTTGCAAACCTGTTCAAAACGTGGTGGATGAAATTCCCTGTGACCTGTTTGGGGGCATCTATTCGATAAAGTTTGGCCTTAAAAGACGATGTGTGATTTGATCTTTTAAATTACGCTTTCTAAATGCTGGAAAAAAGTTTGATTACGTCGATATCTGCAAGGAGGCTGCTCATGTCTGCAGTTTGGAGGGCGTCTAAGCACCTTATGGCATTTTCGACAACAAATTAATGTTGCTGATTGTAGTAAATAATTGTAGGTACACAGGCCAATTAGCAAACTGGGGCTTGTTTTGAGTGGATGAGCACCTCAATGGCCAGTTTATCTCCTTTTTATATCTGGAAGTGGTGTTTCCGTCGTCTAGTGCTTGTATTGACGATGCATGGCCAATGGCCTTGACATCAGTTAGTGACAGTCCATGAGCAATGTTACTTTGAAATCCCATTCAACAAATGCTACCATCTTGCTTGAGTGAAATTTTATTTACCAACGCAGAAATTCACATATATACTACTTAAATTGGCCGGTGTGCTCACTGAAGTTAGAGTGCAAAATAGGCGTCTAATGTAGTGCAAATTTAGACAGGATGGCAACGCCTCAGAAGCCATTGGTTCTACATATTCAGAAGCAACCAGTATTGGTTTAGAACGGATATAAAAGGAATATTTCCATGCTTGTAGTGGATTAAAATATGGAAGACTCGTCACACTTGCCAGGAATCTTGCATGACCTGAGCTTGCAAGTGTCCGTAAGTGTCCGTTCAGTATTTAGCGACAAGGATGAAAGCATTTTGGTTGGATGTCGACGTTTGAGCACTCACAGAACACTTTTTCAGGTTGGAAACAAATCTGTGACCAATCCCTGAGCAACCTTCACCCTAGCCCAACTTTGAAGCTGATCATCACCACTGAAAGAGATAATTGGTCGTCAGTGTGGTCGGATTTCATAGGCATTGCTAAGCATGGACGCCACTGTGATCTTGGCTGCTCAGTATTAATGTGCACAACTAAATAGGCATTCGAGGCAAAACAACTCTGAATGAAAAATTGCCAATTTAACCTGGGAAGTCCAAGTTTCGGTCTAATTGAACATCTTCTATGCGGGAACGCTTGCCTGCCTCTGCAGTCATCAAAACTGGCCTCAAGGAGCATTCCAGCTTCGGACCCTCCACATTATTTTACAACTGAATAATTGCCAACACGGTAGCAAGGTGAAAGGGGCTTATTAAATCAAGCAACGCTATTTCAGCAATTAACTGCATTTATTATTTTTTTAAATGGTGTGAAAAATTGTACAAATATCAAAAACGACAGCACGGTCATTTTAAGGTCAAGTGGTCGCCTCAAATGGGGAGGGGGGAGGGGCGACTGGCTAGGTGGTCAGCTCACTCAGTGATTAAAATAATCACCGGATTGTGAAGATTTGCGAGGTGATCAATGACTCTGTTGGGGAGTGTAGTTTGACGATCAAAATGACAGCTACACGGTCGTGGTGGTCGACTCAAATTGGTTAAAAAATCTGTCGATTGTCTATGAAGACGGCATTTGCCACTCATCTTTGACCCACAAAAATCGATGTCATCGATTAGTTCAGTCAAGGAAGTTGAATGAATGGGGATGTTTGATAGTTTTATCGGATTGGTTGGAATTGGCTCAGTGGAGAATTATCTCAATTAATTGAACTACTGATTCTCAAGCGATGCCGGCTGCTTGATGGTCACTCGACCTAGTATGGCCTCTGCGTGTGCGTTCAACGGACCGTGCTCTCGCGTGATGGCGTCGACGCTGTGTGCGTGCCTATTCTTTCTCTGTAATTAATTTGATTCAACAACCCGATGACCTCTACAAATACGCTCACCAAACGTGCGTGCGTGCGTGCGTGCATGGTGTTTGTGTTTGAACAGGACTAAATAACCGGGGGGGGTGGGTGTGCTTGTTTGTGAACCCACATTCACCAGGTTCAAAGTTAACGCACCACTAAGTCCACTTTGCGCTTGGTGCCAATTAGCACTCGCCGTGATAAATAAGTAAAATGATTAAATAAACAACTAACCCCTGTACACCTGTTTCGCCTTCCTCCCTGCATTAGGAAGGAACTGATCCGAATGCACACAGCGATCCAGTTCATTCCTTCGTTAGCATTTCAGAGGTAGTTTTGGGGGGTGTACACCCTTTTACTCCTGGAATCCAATCGAAAGGGTCTATAACTACACCGAGTAGATTAAAAGTCACTGGACTGGGTTGCAGCAGTTTGATTGAGTGTCCAACATTTCTAGAATTGGGGACCGGGGGAGGGGGGAGAGGGGAGGGGGTTGGGCTTCAAGTTATTTGCTTTCTGTGAATTATTTATTTTCAGTCCCACTTTTGGAACCTCCAGGACACCACCCCCACCAGCGCAAACCTCTTTCTTCCTGTCGACATCGCGCGGGAAAGAAGACATTAATATTTCATGACCTTGAGCATTGTTAAAAATCGCCGGTGCGTCTATTTGAATTTGCCGTGTGTGGGTTGGCGGGTGGGTGTAATGGAAACCTGTCACTTTATAAAGTGGGCAGTGACCAGTGACATCGAGAAGAATCGCTGCCTTGCGTGCGAAACTCACCCCAAAGCCGTGGACACGATTTGGCCGGGAATCGCCGAGTGCTTCACCAAGTACGTGCTGTCGTTGTGTTCGCCACCTCCCCCACCTAATTCGCACATTCGACGTCAGCAAACCGAAAATCTGCCGAAACAGTTCTTTTTCTTCTCCCGCGGACTCGTTTGGATCTCAAAATTGTCGATTTGCCGAGCCACTCTTGTGTAATTTACTAACTCTGATGTGTCAGTGATTAACTCCTGCGTCCCTTTGATCCAAATTTGCCGCCGTCGAGGCATATACTGCTGCAACTAACTAACTGAATTGGATGCGTTACCACTCGCCAATACCTTATCCTTCACAGTTACCCACTTCAGCTTAAAATATCCTGTGCTGTGGTATGCACGCAACCATTTTAGGGGAAATGTGCGCCGTTAACGAGGACTTCAATTTTCAAGGTCAAACTGGGCTTTACTTCTATCGCAAAAACCGTACCTTATTGAGGCAAACACCGCATTTCACGTGCAACATTTTACTAACTGACCGGAATCACTGTGTCGTGCAAACGGACTTTGATCAGAGCTCATTAACACCATTGGCTGCTGCCTCGGGGGAATGTGGTTGGTCTGCTGGTTTTGTGTCGTGTTTCTGCCAAAGACGCAGGTGGAAGCCTGTTTGCTTGGGCAAAATACGGACGCCACTGGGGGAAAACACGCCTGGTACTGCTTCCACGTCTTCTGTGAGTCAACTAGACTTGTACTTAACTAATCATTAGTCAACCAGTGGGCTATAATTGGCGTTTGAGTCCATTACGCGTAAATGCGGGTTAGGTCGTCTCCGGGTGTGCAAAACCTACAATTAGCCTGCAACAGAAGTGGGACGGGCTCGGTGTGTTTATTTCCTCGAGATAATATACACTTTCGGTGTGGCATAAATTCTCCCGCAATGCATGCGCACCCCTCGACACTGGCTCTTTTCGCAGTGAAGGCGAAATAATGGCTCACTAAGGGAGAATGGAAAATTTTACTGGTGAAACGTGGGATTTTGTCTCTTCTCCAACAACTTGGGCGATGACGGTGCATCCAAACCCCAGTTACTGCTTTCCCAACCATGTTAATAACTAGCACCAACCTGAGTATCTGATTGCACGACTCGAATTTAACCAATCAAAATGTCTGCATGACATATTAAATATACAAATCGATTCTCTGCTACAGTGAAGACTTCAGTCGTTAGGATATGCTGTCAACGAGTCCCGTTTTTACCTAACAACGCACCAAGGGTTTTTGGCACGTGATTTTAAAAGGCCTGATAATCGATTTCGCCTTCAAATGTATTTCATTAATTATACTCCAACTAAGGCTGGTGTCAAATTAGACAATTTACAATTAAACAAGCCGTGCCATCGTGCTAGGTCCCTAATTCAAAGGCGCAGATCGCTTTAACGCCCAATTAGGTCGAGGCAAAAGACACCTCGACCAATCGAACGCCTCGTCACCAGCGCGTGTGACGTGTGTAGGCGTCGTCCAATAGGTGCACAGCTCGACTTTTCCCCGATCGCATCTCCCCACATTCGTACCGAGCATGTGCGTGTGTGTGCGTTGGTGCACTCCCTCTTGATTGGTGCGCGAAAAACTCGTCGCGCGAATGCATAGACTCGCTCGACCCCCCTCACCATACCTTGGCGACACCTGCTGTGGTGCGCGGGTGCGTGCGCGTGCATTCGTGTGGGATGCGTGCGAGCGCACGTGCACAGCTTGCACAAACGTGCGCATGCATGCACGCAGCGTGAGATGCCGTCACTAGTCGAAGTCAAACATTTAGCAAAGTAAAGCGGGACTGCTAGCAGGTCTGTGTCAGTCAATTAGTCAATCAATCAGATACCCGATGCAGGCGGTGACCAGTCAAGGTGCCTTCTGCTCCTCCAAACCCTTCGACAGCCCACCAGCGGAGTCGAAGGAGTTCGATAAACTCACCGAGGGTGATCAAGGCAACTCTCCCTCGGATCGCTCGGAAATCGACTCAATCGACGGATCACTGCGACGGTGCGCCGATGACCTCCGCTACATCTTCCCCGAGACATCAGTCCTCCTTCCAGTGAAGGTCAAGTCGGGGAATAAGAAGTCCTTCGTGTGGAACTACTTCCGCCACCCTGAGGGTGAGGCGGGCATTGTCGATAGAACTCGAACTCAGTGTCTAATCTGCAAAAGCCAACTGGCATTCAACGCCTCTGGAACAACCACGACCATGCTTAACCACTTGAAGAGTCGTCATGGCGATATTGCACAGCGCGAGGAACAGCAGAGAGCCAGTGGTGCTGGCAGAATGCCCGTACGACGTAAAGACAGTCAACGCGGTAGCGCCAATTCGTCGTTTGGAGCGCTTCGAGGAAACCACGTCGCCACCAAGGGGAAGCAAAATGGCTACCCCGATTTCCATCAGCCTCCCGACTTCAGTAAGGAGGACTTGCAGAAATTTCCGGTGAGTGCTACTTCCATTGAGATATTTGATAGTTTTTTGACTCAGTTATTGTTACACGTACCCTTCGGTAGGTGAAATAATCCATGTCTATTATTATTATTTCCGAATTGGATTCAAGTCGGATGCGGTGAAGACTGGAATCACAGTCAAAATTTGAAAAACGCTTCATAGACCTTGCGTGTGCATCCCTAGTCTGACGTGCTAACTGACGTAAAGACCTTTTTAAGAGTTTCCTGGCCCTCCATAGGCTGTGGTTTCACTCTTTGAATTTCACTTTTTCTGATTCCATCAAAACGCACCGCTCTGTCATCCCGAATTCCTGTCAATCTGTGCAGGTATTTCCTGACCTTACTAGTGATTTTGTGGTGTTATAGTGCTTCGTGTACGTCCAGTTTTGGGTTCCGATGCCAGATGTCACTGCCGCAGACCTCGGCGTGCGCGTTCGCGTCAGGATGCCACACGAATGAGTGCGGGTACTTGGCAGTAGAGACTGCAAACTGGTAGAATTTAGTGCCTACGCCAAGACCAGCCTGGTAGGAGTTGAAATGTGAATGCCAACAGTAGCTCGAGTAGACCAACGCCTTCGTTGTGCGCGGCAGCAATCGACGTTGCCGCCTGTCTTTATTCGAGTGTCGCGTCTTCACGAAACTTCCAGACTGATTTGTCATAGGCCAGCGCTTCTTCACACGATTGCACAGTCACTTGACTCCGCAACTGACTGTCGCATTTTCGTAATAAATCAAACGCCTTTTCACCCGCACAACTCGTCAGCAAATGTGACGCTGCAACTCAAAGGGACGCTCATAATTAACCACATCGAGCTCTCCATCGACTGTAGTCTGCTGATTCTTTCACACCCAAGTGAAAATAACCAACGCTGTGGTGAATTTGCGGTCTTAAGGGGTGGCTCTCGATGAGAGGCGATCTGCGCCCTCGTTGAGAGAGCAAGAAAGTGTGTAGGAAGGTGGTAATCGCCTTACCACGCGACATTGTGTTTAGTGGTTAATTTGAGTCAGTCGGTCAAATTTCGGCATGAGGTCAACCTGTGCATAAAACCTCAGACGTCTCACAACCACCAACTTAGACAATAACGGGAACACCATAAAAACCTCCCTGAAAACGCTACAACGCCGTATGTGCATGTGTGCGTGTGAACAGCTAAGCATAACTAAACTCTCGTTCTTTTGTTTCTGGGCTTTCGAGGTGGGTGCGTGCGTGCTTGCGAGGCGAGTGGCTTTTGTTTCGGTTGCCATGACAATCAGCAGGTGACAGACTTTCGAGTGAGGTAGTTTAATCAAATTGGGGGTGCAAATTGGCCAATTCACTGAGTACTCAAACTTTGCGCTTTGGCTGTAGCAACTCGGTGGGGAAGAGATGCAGGCGAACAAAGGCGCCTTCTTCCCGCCGTTTTTGTCGCTGGGCGGATTGGATCCGGACAAGAAGCGTTTGAGTCCGCTTGCGGTGTCCGAGGGTGGCCACCTGATACCTCCGCCGGGGCTGCTGAACAGCCTCGCCTTTCAGGAGCGGCACATGCCAATCCCGGTGACCTCCACCACTGGGCTGCTGCCGCCTCCCTTCCCCATTCCCCCGACTCTCGATTCGACAGGTCCCTTCATGCCACATCTGCCCGGATTCATGCCGCCCAACTTCGCCCTCACTCCACCGTTCCCGTGCTGTCCAAACCCCGAGGGTGCGATCGATAGGTCACAGCCGCCGTCGACAAACGGCGACCCGAACGGACTGGCTCTAGCCAAGGCCTGGCTTTCCTCCTTCTCCAACCTAACACCGGACTTCATTGCATTCGGCGCCAAATCGAGCAATAACCCTAAGACCAAATTCCCGCCAGCCTCACCCACCCTCAATAATAAGCATCTTCCACAGAACCTGGCTGACATGGGACAACTGTTGAAGGGTCTACCAGCTCTACCACAGAGAACGCCGTCGAAACTTCTGGCTCCCCCGCCTCACCCGCCGCCGCCTCCGCCTCCTGAACTCCTGGCCACACTGTTTCAGAACAACCCCCTAGTGATGAACTTACTGTCGAAGTCGCAATCCTTGCTAGGAGTTCAGGTTCCACCCCCAACCAACTCAGCTCCGCCTGAACAGTGGATGCCTCCCCCAACAACAATCACGAAGTCGGCTAGTCTAGACTTGACTGGCACAGCTAAGAGAAAGCGAGGGCGGCCGGTCTACATCACACCTGATCATAATGGCACGGTGAGTCCTGTTTTTTTACTAAGACAACAGAAATAGTTCCTAGGGCCTTTTGTCTTGACAGGAATGCGTCGTTTGCATGTACAATTGAGCATATTTGTTGGAAAAATCGATCAATGTTTCAGCTTTCACCGTGTCCACGGTTACCATGATCAGTTAGCGTTTTGAGCCTAGCGATTTCTTAACCCGGTGGATTTCCTCCATTCAACACACTAGAAACGCCAAGCGACGGATAACCACGGCAAGACCTTCGATAGCCAGAACGAAGTTCCAGAGGACCTCACTGTGTCTCGACAAGGCAACGAGGCTCCACAATCGCTGGCCTCCTCCTCCTCCCCCTCCTCGCCTTCTAGTGACGTCCTGGAGGAGAGACTAGCACACTTCCTTGTCCGTGATATGCATCCCCCAGAATTTCTCGATGGAGAAGGCTTCAAGGTGAGCCTTATTTGCCTGACTTACCCGTAGTCAATCCACCAAATCGATAATACCTGACCTTGTTTGTTTTAACCAGCAGGGAGGAGCACAAATTCAGGCCATTGCAATACATGTGAGACTGAGTAAGAGGCTTATCCTTTGAGCTTGCCGAACGTTGTGTGCGAATGACCCTGTGAAATTGACCTTCTCAGTGGAGTAGACTGTAAACAGATGCGAGCACACAAGACAGCCTTTGCCAGCTCATGCGGCATTTGTCGAGTCAAAGGCGTTAATTTTTGTTCACTTTTGCACTCACGACTTCTTGGTGACCTTACATGCACCGACTTCGTACTTGTTGGCATGTGAGCAACCTCAGTTGCGGTATAAAGAAAAAGGCAATCTGTAGGCATTAAATCGTCGCCGTGACAGGCTTTTGGTAACTCCTGCAGAATAGGGAGATTCATTCGACGTCCTCAAAATGAGCATTAGTCAGGCCGTTAATGTATCTCATCTCAGCAGTACCTGGAAAAAATTCGACCGGTAATCAAAATGGAGTTTTTAACTGCGTATGGAGTTCAGCAGGGCAATAAAATTAGTGTCTGACCCCGCCGAATGTGGAAGCGACGAGGCAAGGTGGCAATCGGTGCAGTGGCAGATCATGGGACGCCAAGGCAGAACCCGCCCCCCCACTCTTAGAATCTCCGGAGTTATCGTTGGTTAGATGGAGGGACACCAGAGGGGAGGCGAGTGAGGTAGTATCGGCGCCTTAATCACCTCTCTTGTTGTCCAGTCAGTCTCGTGCATGTCCCCCTCCCATAGCCTTTGTCATCGAGTGCTGCTCGAGTGACGACGAAGACGATGACTGGACAGCCCGTGGCTACTTTCAACAAGTCCATTTAAGCTACCTGCTGGCGGGGGGTGGACGTGGGTTGAGTGGAAGATAATGCATTTCACCGTGGGGGTGGGTAATCACTTACACTGACTAACGAAGACGTCTCGCGTGCCTCGGACAGAACCGCATTAAGTTGATAGCATCTTCCACTGGGGAGGAATGGCGCGCTTCGTTTCGCAACTGGATGCTTAAATAACTAACAGGGTTGTGGATAGAGACCCCTGTTCCCTATGTATAAAGCTAATACATCGTGTGGAGGCTAGTAATCGCCTTCTGTTGCCGCCCTTTCGATATCAAGCAATGAAGACGCCACCCTGCTATCATTTAGGATCGCTTTTCGTCGCCATCGCAGGCCTAATCAGCCGCCTCTAATGAAGGGGGCTGGAGGAGGGGGGGGGGGTTAGCGTCCGACACCTCCACCACACCTCTAAGTTGATTGCAAGGCACTGCGAAAGAAAGGGAGAGGTGTAGGGGGGTGGGGGAAGGGAGGCAGACGCAAAATCGTTCGTGCCCGTGCGCGCCCGTGAACGCTCTTATCGAATTCGAGATCTTTCCACGTCCCCCTCATCCTGCTCACTTACGCGCCTGCCTCTCTCCCCACCGCCAGCACCCCGTTTTTACGACGGACACGAGCCGTTGGAGAGACTGCGGCGCCAAGCCAGAACGACCATCAGATAAGGCGCCTACAGCCAGTGTCGTCCAGCTCTATGTTTCGTCGCCGTAGTTACGTCAGGTTGAGTGGGTGCTAGGGAACAGGTGTTGGGCAACAATTAAAGCGAACCACCGACCGAAATCGCCATTGTTCTGTAACCGTCTGTGTCACTGGTGTAAATAAGACACACAGCGAGTAGAAAGAAAGGGAGAGACCATAAATTGTCATCAGTAGACAAGCTGCAGGCTTACGATTAATCATTTTCATGAACGTGCATAAGTCCACCAGATCGAAGAGTCTGAAAATCCTCTATCACAGAGGGTTGTACAGGTGTAGTCCAAACTACAGACAGTAATTGTTTTTTGGTTATCCAGGCATTTATCCATGAAGTGGCTGGGGCGAAGGTGGCGTCACTAGGCGTTCCAGAGGCCGGTATATCCTCGCAGCGAATGCGACGGGAGGTTTTGCCAAGAATTGCAGCACGGCTTCGTCCACAGCCGCACCAACGCCGCGGTCCTTTTGCTCTGGCGCCGAGCCTGGCTGTTGAATTCTGGCAGAACTCCACAGCTCAGAAATTCGTGAACCTATTCACAGAGCACGGGCGGCTTCTCCAGACCTCTTCAGTAGGTTTCTGGTGTGTCAGGGCTTTAAAATGCCTTCAATTTAAAATAGAGCATTTAATTCATCTTAATTGTGCAAATAAGAATATTTCTTGCTTAATTTTACAGATTGACAGTCAATTGGACGCTCAACAAGTAGTGGAAGAGTGTTTGGCTGCGTGCCAAGGATCGAGAGAGAACAAAGATTCTGTAAAGAAGGATGGGCAGAAGGCGGAGGAAGATGATGCGACAACGGAGACAAACCACCCGACATGTTTCTCCTGTCCCCTGGTCACAAACCAACCCCAAGAGCTCTCCGAACTTTTGCAACATTCGTCTTCCAGTTTCACAGTCCTACCGTGCCTGATCACTGCTCTCTCTACTGCGATTTCAGTGAGTCGTTTGCTAGCATTGACGCCGAATGATTTGACTGCTTCCTCACTTCTCGGCATCCATTTGAAAAGAACTTGGAGTACACTTGACTTTCTTTTCCAGAGTGGTTTTCGAGTGACACCCGTGGCTTCGCTCTTGAAGGAATGCAGGCAGATACTCGGCTCATCGTCGCCGTCTGACACCGATTTGTCCTGGCGAGACGCCTCCGAATTACTCCATGCGATCGACGCTGAAAAGGCACGTCTGTCGGATGAGCAGCGGGATAACATCTGCCGGTTGAAGAGTCTAGTTGTGGTGAGTTTCCTGAATATGCGGGCTTTGTTTTCGAACACACACGGCGAAAACTTGGACCAATGTAGACCGCTATTCAGAGTGTGAGAGGAATAGATTGTTGCCATCTTGGCAAATTAGACTAGCTGAGGCCTACAGGATCACGTGACCCATCGCGTCCGTTTAATTAATCGCTCGGTGAGCAGTCACCAGTCGCCGTTGCAACCTCACCTCGACCAGGTCACGACGCCTGTCTGGACTCCTTGCTAAGCCTGAGTGCACCAAATATTTGCGTGAGACCCAACCCTCGCTGATCTGAAACAGTAATTTCCTCGAGGCAACCACACGAAACGCAAAAATATTCTGGAGAAAAGTTGCAGTCAGTGGGAGCAGCAAGTTTGCTTCAATTCCCCTGTGCACCGGACGGTGGAATGAGAAGAAATTTTGACTTCTTGGGAAAAAGAACCAGAGAGAGAGAGAGAGGGAGAAACAGGTTACGATTTAACTTGTCCCCTTCATGTAGCAAACATCCAACGTCGACCACGACGGGTAGTTTGTGAATAATTTACCAGAGGCGAGAGTGTGAACATGTGTGTGGGGTAGTGGGGAGGGCAGGTGGGGGGGGGGGGATTAGAAACGAGGACACAGTTGAGACGCGGTCGGCAACCTCGCGGAACGGACACACACACACACACACACGCACATCCACATCCTCACCCAAAAAGTGGCTGAAATTTGAGCAGTCGAGTACTCGCCTGCCGTCGGACGACCGCGCAGAAGTCAAACTTGCACCCCACTTCAACAGACACCGTCCTGTCGCCTCACTCCCTCCCCTTCCCCACCACTTCGACGTCCCGTCGTAGCCCTCAGAACGAAAAGAAGTGAATTATTCAAGATGGAGGCGCGAAACGGCGTGTGCGGGTGCGCCCACAGCGTGTACACACGCTCTGCGGTGAGGCTAATTCATTATCTATGCGGTTGCCGCTGCGACAGCAGATCGAGGAGAGACTGAGGACAAATAATATTATTATTCGCCAAGGACTCTGTGGCGTGGGTTTTAGTGGCCAGGACATTTCGACGCACCCTCGCATCTGTGGCATGCTGAAACACTTGATTCTTACTTTCAGAACCTCAATCAGACTTTGGAGTTTATTCGCGAGAAAGACGTGGTGTTAACGGCCTCAATGATCTGGCCGATTCTGACTAACTTACGGGAGACCCACCTAGCGTGTACTGATGATGACCATGGACACTCCGACGTGGTGAAGGCATTCAAGGAAGAGGTCGCAGGTGGTTTGGATAACTTCTTCCCCAAACAATCCTCCCCTGTGTCAGACCTCCTCCAGATTGCCAGTCTCATCGATCCGCGGTTTAAGGAGAGGATTCAAGAGGCCGAGCCAAATACTGTTAAGCTTCTCAAAGCGAAGGTAGGGTGCACTTCACGACTTCACTTAGACGTGTTGGCAAAATGTCGAAAAGGTTTTTTCATCACTTTTAGGTTGAGGAACTGTCGTGTAGGGTGAAGCAACTTGAGGGCGCATCTACATCAGATGGCTATCACGAGAATCACAACTCAGTGAATGATGGCAGTGGCCTTGAAAAGGTCTTTGGCAGGAATTTCTTCGTTCGAACTTCGCTCTCAGAAGTGGATCGATATCTGAGGGAGGAGTCAGTGGGTTTACAGGCCGACCCTCTTAAGTGGTGGTCTGGGAAGTTATTTTCCTATCCAATATTGGGCTCACTTGCTCGCCATTACCTTGCGGTCCCGTTGGCATGCTTCAACCTCAGACAAAGACTGAAAACTTTTGTAAGTACGACTGCGCCGGATAAGCTTGAGTTACCCGGCTTCGAGGATATTTTTCCAGGACCCAAATCGAGACTTACAGCTGACGATGGGTCAATGTA